AGTAAAATTCAAAATAGTTTCATTTAATTTAACTTTATTAGAAATGATAATTAAACGTATTAAATTTATTAAGTATAATTAAGATATTACAATTTAAAAACAGTATTATATGAACAAAAACTTGATTATCTAGGTTAATTATTACAAAACCAGTTTGGTTCAATTAGACATAAACTAGAACAACCATCTCCATCAAATTCATTACCATCATCACATTTTTCATTATCAGTATAAATAGCATCTCCACATTTATTTGACACTTCTTATTCCTCTTCATCAAAATTATGAGTGTAATTTTCAACTTCACATATATCCTTTATAATTGTATATCCTTTAATGCACTCTAAACATATTCCAAAAGTACAAGTTTAACATCCTTCTTCACACTAAAATTAACAATTAAAACAACCATCATAAGGAATATCATTTCCATCTTCACATTCTTCTAATCCAATAACAATATGTTCATCTCCACATATTGGTCTACATTAATTATTATATAATTCTTAGTACTATTCACAAATATAACATGTATTTTTATCTATACAAGCGTTGCAATATGGAATACATTGATATTTGCATTCGAAACATCCATCTCCATTATCATAATTTCCATCATCACATTGTTCCATTGAAGTTACAGCTATTTAACCATCTCCACAATATTGATAACAACCATAATCAATAAGCTTCCATCCATCAAAACACTAATAACATTTATTTTCAACACAATTTATACATTCCAATTAGCAACTATATTAGCATTTATAACATCCATCAAACTATATATTGTTTTAATCATCACACTATTCTTATTATTATTCTATTACGATTCCATCATTACAAATAGAAGTACATCTCAATCTATTTTTTTCTAATTAATAATTTTCTTCACATTATAGACATATATTAATAAAACTTATTTTACAATGTTGTATTTCTGGTATTCTGCATTAATTATAAAAATATCCAAAAATTCCAAAATCTTTTAGATTACATGTTAAACTACTGGCTAAAGTATATTTAGAATTTTCATTATTAAATAGATTATGCTAGTAATAACCATTCTCAATCAAATTATTAATTCTATTCTAACAATTTCTATTTTCTTAATCTTCCTAATTCTCATAACCATCACAAATATAGTAACATTTATCATTTATCAATTCGTATTTAAATGAACATTATATGCATTTACCAAATTAACATTTACTACAATTCAAAGGACAAGAATATTTACATTAATAACATCCATCATATTGATACGTGTTCCCATCATCGCATTCTTCAAAATAATTAATTATTGAATCACCACATATTGGTAAACAATTCTTATTCTATTCATAATATTGCCATCC